AAACAGCAAATCTGGTTCGTTGGCGTATTCAAAGAGGCAAAGGATTTCAGTTAGCGGCAAAAGACAGAAAAAGGCCAAAAAACCAAAGCAATTCAAGTTTTGAATCTACATTGAAACTGTTACCTTTGGACATTTAGTTTTGTTGTTGGTAACTAATATTATTTGCTTTGATTAAATGTACATGTGATTTCAGCTTTAAGATCCGATTTGTTTCCTTAGTTGTGACTCTCTATGCGTTATGTTTATTAGAAAATCTTAAAAGCAAATTTAAATTTGATTCCTCCATGAGGTGTTTTAACATCATATTCTAATTATTTTATGTCTCGTAAATGCATTTAAAGCCAATTTAGGGCATTAATTTTTAAAATTTTCTTCCTTATAGGGCCCTAAAAGATTGGCATAGTTGGTGCTATCGTGAAAGCCCCTTAAAATTAGGCACTGACACAATTTATGCCGTAGAGAATCTTAGATGGGTATTCGGTATATGTATTGTGCATTTTATTTTTATTGTTTATTTTGGAAGGGTTTATCAAAAAATTATTATCACTTAGTTAGAAATTCGTTATTGCCAGCCTAGATTTGTTTCTGTCTCAAAGCGCAATCAATCTTCGAACTGTCTGGGTAATTTCATGAAGGAAGGGTAAATATTGTGTTTTGAAATTTGAATCCTTACTAGTCTATCAGCCAATTGCCAAGATAATGCATTTCGGGGCTTGTGATCAGTATGCGGCTTTATACCAGGGTGCCCCTCACTCCTGCTCCTAGGGATGATGCCAGCAAAAGTGTATCGGTGTATCGTAGTGTTATGTACAATGCAATCCAACATCCGTGTGCATGGTTGTACGTTCCTGTTAATATGGCATAGATATAGATATGTCAATAATTCTTCTTATGAAAATAATATACTTTGTGGTTTTATCGCGCACGGATTACACAGCATTTGAGTTTGATATAATATAACGTTTGCAGTGGAGGGACCAAGTCGTAATCCGAGTCATACATTGAGACTAGAATGAAAGAGCTAACCAATCTCCAAATTTTCATGCCATGGTGATACTATTATCCCGCCACATAAAGCGGCTTTTTCGAGTAGCTTAAGTATTGTTAAGATAGAGGATAGTGAAACGAATGTTTTTAAGCATGTTGCTTTGGAAAGTAGACCAAGATAAGTTTAATTTCGTTAAGGCTTTGTTACACGATAGAATATTAAACAAGAATAATACTATTTAAGCGCAAAAATTTAATCTTCGAATATTCTTCATTGTATTTCGATGAAGAATTTTTCAAAGAAGAATTGATTAAAGTCATCATCTAATTGTATGAATATTCTTGTCAAGGTGAATCAATTCGAACTAGTTTGATTTTAATGCTGGCTTGAAGAATATTTTCAGACAATGGAAATGCCGATGTGTAAGGATGTGAACTCCTTTCTGTGCTTCTAAGTTATTTCTGTTGTTCTAAGTTCCTTTTTCACGTAGCCCGAATAACAATACAGTCGTGTGGTCAGTAACCGTGAGGAAGGCCAATAGCAATCGGATTAAAGTGCCATTCTGGAACCCCACCTAAATTTTTCTCGGGAAGGTTTCCAAAGCTCATGGAACATGTCAGGATATAGACTTAACCAACCACGCAGACTGGAATCGACGGAACATAGCCCTAATTTCGTGGATGGCATTGTACTCATTGAGGCATTTATTGGGAGGTCAAGCCACTGTGTAGCATACTGCGTGACAACATTGTCGAGATTTTGGAAGACCGATGTCTGGGAGAACTCTGTGATGGTAAAGTGCCAAGATAGTTTGAAAAGGATAAATCGTTGATAAAGCAGCATCTTTTCTAAAGGTGAACATAAAAAGAATCAGCCGGTTTAAGTAGAATGAGAGACAATTTCCCGCTGAGCTTTGTGTTCCCGGTTTGACATTTCAAAATCAAAGTTCCAACCTAGGTATCTGAATATCTTGCCAATTTCTACAGGAGAGACACAAATACTGTTAATAAAAAGATTTGGTTTGAGTTGTAACGATCTGGATGAAAACTTCTTTATTCCAAAGGTAGAACATTTGTCCACTAAGATTGTCATATGGGCCTATTGAAACCATCTTGTGAAGCAGTTTAAAAGCAATTGGTCTTCTCTCTCGTATGCAATAACTGCAGCATCATCTGCAAATTGGCACTAATGCAAAGGGTTGAACGTTTCCCCATGTTCATTCTTGCCTAGCTCTTAATTTGATGAATTTAAAGAATTTATTAAAGCAAAAATTGAACAAGAGAGGACTTTGACAATCGATCGTTAGAACTAAAAGTTCAGGATTATTCCAAGACCTATTTCTTCGGCTCAAAATGTAATGGGTGGTTTGGATAATTAAGTTGGATATTTTGAAGATTATGAAGCGGGGATGATTCTCGCTGATATCTAGAGCGTTGCACATGTCGATGAAAGAGGAGCAGGAGAGATCAAAGATACCTAGGGAACTAATAAAAAAATTAAAAACATGATAGAATAATAGGCTGAGCGGCTGAACGATGAACAACTAAAGGCTTCAGAATTGACATTTGAAATGCTCAAACTAAAAGCCGGCGGAACAGAACTGAGACTACCATCACTTGCAGTGTTCAATTTGCGAATCGCCGTCGTTCGATTCGGTTTGAGGCGAGACTAACGAAATACACTGTGACGTCAAAATTGCGTCACAGTGTCACCAAACCGAAAATTTTTTGTCGGTTAATTCAATTCAATTATCGAAATGCAAGAGCTTATATCTCACAAACTGTAAAAAAAATCGAAAAACAAATAACGAATTCGTGATCAGCAGGTTCAACTTCTTTAGATTAGCCAATAAAATGCAAGTGCAAAATTTGGCTGGAGAGGCCCTTTAAAGTAGCACATGTGGGTAAATCGAGCAAACGGCGGATAAATGTAGAGACTTGATTACAAAGATTTTCGACGATTCAGGTTTTTGATAGGTCGGCGACTGTGAGGTGCCTAAAAACTCGCGAGAGAAGATAGTTCTTAAAAAAGCAGCTTATTCTTTGGATGGAGAGGAAAAGATTCAAAATGCGTTAGGAGTTTTGTGAAGAGGGAGCTAAGCTTAGACATATGTTCTTGGTTGCTCATATTAAAGTTGAAGTGACGCCCAAGATACTTATAATAAAAATTATTTTAAAAATAAAAATTCATAATTAAATAGTAAAAAATAGTTCAAATTTTGAAATATTTCTCCGTGGGACTGACAATATTTGAAGGAATACTAAAATTACAAAATTTTGTGCATAAAATGAGCCGATCAGTCTTAAAGTTCACTCCGCCATGTTAAGGTCCTTTGTGTTTGTGTTGACACAAAATCCTATAACATTGCACCTCCCAGAAGGCCTGGATCGCAATCAGAGTGTCGCATGGTCGGTTGGCGGGAGAAATTTTGCGCGTCGCAATTTGGCCGCAGCTTGCAGGCGCAAAAGCTCTTTGCACAGCGGCTGCAAACATTTTTGCTCTATGTTCACTTGAATCAGAAAATAAGAGAAGCCAAATAACAAATATGAAAAATCATCTGTTAAAGCTATATGTGAAAAACTATTGCTTTGTCTGGACCTTGGCAATATCAAAACTATTGGAGGCCTTCAATGAGATTTTGAGGGGAAAATTTTATGAACAAATTAAGCTGACCAACTCCTCTGGTTGCTTTTCAGCTACTGCTGCTTTTAGAATACGTTTTGCATTGATATGACCTTATAATACATCATTTCACAAATGTAGATTATGGAAATATAGACATCTGTAAATCATTCTGAGGGCCTGTCTGCCCCTTTCATTTTGACACTCCTGTTAAACATTTAAGCTTAGGATTTTTCTTGAAAACTCATTATACCATGCAAATTCTGCACCATAATAAAACAGATTGTAATGTGGAGTTATCTAACTCTTTTAGTGAAGCTAACTGGCTATAAGTATGTTTGTTCTTTATAACAATGAAGCTCAAATCTGATTAGCAAGACCTTTTCTTCATTACAGTATCCTACCTCCAAAAAACCTTGAAAAATTTGAAGGATTCACTCAAGAAATGCCTTGACAGAAGGAATGCCCTCACAAGGTCAGGGGCAGCTGCATCATCCCTACCAGAGTGTAGATTTTTTCACCAAATGGGGTTTCTGCATGAGAAGTCCTCTAATCTGCCAACTGTCAGCAACATCTACCTCAATCCAGATCAAGGAGAATTATTTATAATACCCCGGGAGGACTTGCCTATACCTGAACGAAGACAGATCAAAACAAACAATAATGAATCATTTTGTGCTGATGCCTCCATACATCAGGAACCCCAAGCCGATACGCAATGTGGGGAAGCCTTTGTTTCTACATCAGCCAAGAAAGTTGCTGCTTCAAGGAAAAGGAAAAACCAAGATGCAGAGCCCAAGAGAGAATAAGGGATGTTTCTTCAACAAATGGAGAAAATTGAAAAAGCAATATACTCGTGTATTGAGAACAGTAATAAAAATTAGGACTGCGAGGATATGCTGTTCTGTAAAAGTTTGGTGCCACAACTAAAAGGACTCCCCCTTAAGGAAAAAAGGCTTGCAAAAATAAAAATAAGTCAGTTACTTTTTGATATAGAATTTGATGAATAGTTTAAAAAGTGAAGAAAATTACTTTTATGTTGGCTTTTCTCATTTCTTTGATTTTAATGACATTTCAATGTTTTGATCGATATAGCTAATAAAATATGCTTAATACTTCAAGATGTTCTATTCACTATTTGCCACTGCTACTCAACAGCTCCTTCATTGTTGAAAAAACGAGTGAAATCTTCTATTGTTGTCTTTGCAACTTCAGAATAATTATTTGAGGCAGTTGAACTTATTGGCTGCAAACCTTGATCATCTCATGGTCTCCTTTTGATATGCCAGCGGATGAGCCATTATTATCCGTTAAGTCAATGGGAAAGTAATCAAAAGATATATTGTCATTTTTGACAGACATTAGAAAGTTGTGTAGAGCAACAACAGCCTTAGTTATAGCTACAACCTTTTCCTGGGGCTGCTATTATAGGCCTATGTAATTCAGTAAAACGGCTTGCTGCAATGCCAAATGCATTTTCGATGACACGACGCCCACTACTCAGTCTGTAATTAAAAACTCTCTTCTCAGCTTCAAGGTTTGTAAAAGGATATGGCTTCATTAAATGACGTTCTAATCCAAATGCATCGTCTGCTAAAAACACGTAAGGAAGGATTTTGTTGCCAACCTTGGAATCTCTCTGCATGTTCAATAGATTATTTTCAATTGCATATCCAAGATGACGGTTTGCATAAACACTACCATCACTTTCACGGCCAGTGTCTCTAATATCTACGAGTATAAACTGATGGTTTGCGTCGCAAACAGCCATCAGAACAATGCTATGGGTTTTCTTATAGTCAAAAAATGCGAAGCCTGAACCTGCAGGTGCAAACATTACAACGTGCTCTCCATCCAAAGCACCTATTGCATTCGGAAAATTCCATTCATGCTCAAATTCTAAGGCAATTCTCTTCCATTCTGCGACGGTAGATAGTGCTTTCAGATATCCAGGCTCCAGTAACTGATCCCACAAAACTCCACAGGTTTCAAATATGATGCGCCCAATTGTTGTTGGGCTAATGCGGAAGCTTGACGCAATTGTTGTATGAGCAGCCCCGGTCGTCGAGTATCGAAGTGTTATTCCCAAACGTTCTCCTGGGCTAATTGGCTCCCTCATTTTGTTGTTTCACGATTCATGTACGGTGCAATGAAAGAAAGAAGCTTCTAAAATGTTGATGATGAATTTCTGAAGTTATTGAAGAAGTATTCATGATCAACTAATCTTAAATCATTTACAAGAAGGTGATATTCACCTTTCTGCTTTCTTTCTAAGTAAATTTGACGTGTCCAAAACCTTCTTTCCTTCTTTGCTGATAATTTCTTCTTTTTTACCCAAAGCCGGTAGAGATTCAAAACGATTCTGCGAAGCTGAAGCAAATACTTGAAATTGAAGGCTGCCATGTTTGTTTTCAAAAGCCCGCCAAATTCTATGGTGGAGATAGAAATAGTTTGTTCACGCTATTATTATCGTTGCGACGAATGCTCTTCGCGCGAAGGATTTCGCCTAGTGGAGATCCGTCTTAAGACACTAAGACCCTAAGACCTAGGAACCATAAGTACTAACATTAAAAAGGACGCTTAAAACCACAAGGGTCTTCACTCTGATAGGACAATAGTCGTTCACAGTTGACTGTCATCATCGCACCACAATGACACAACAATTGTCAAATGCGCTTTTGATCCTACTGCGGCATTCTTCTGTATTTTATTCACATACACTCGACTCGAACGGTTCTAATACAATAGGTAAGTTAACAAAAGCATCTAACCGCGCGACTAAATAAAACCAAAGGCGATGAAAGGACTATCGAAAATACGTTTTTGGTTAACAAATGGATTAACGAACCGTTAAAAAAGTCATAAAAGCAGATAAATAGAAAACAGGAGAAGTAAGCATAGTTTCCCAACACATCATATGCTGTCTTCAAATGAGTCTACTATGGAGTCAGACAGAGACAAGAAAGTTAAGGGCATGCGCAAGGCAATGTCTTTAGCTGCTACTTGTAGCTTTTGCATGTTTCTTTATACTGCCCAATTTGAAATTTTGGCATGTTAAAGAACATACTGAGGGGGTCTTCTATGTACCCGCATATAAGAAACTCGAGATATTTAATTATAAGGAAATGTTGGCTTCTTATACACAATAAAGTATTTGAAAAAAAACAAAAAGTTGAGTAAACTTAAGCTTTTCATCTGACGCTCTTCAGAGATTCAAACGTCAGAACATAGATCGAAAACTCTACGCTAGGAAATATATATACCCAGTTGTGGATCGAAACAGGCCAATCAGAAACGCGAGCACATGACTGTAGAGGTTGACCAATCAGTGTCGCTTGCCTATTGAGAATGTTACCTTATGGAGTCCCAAGGTGAAAACGAACTCCTTTTGTCTACTCAATAGCGGTTTTTTGTGCAGCGGTTTGTTGGCTCTATTGAAGATGATTTGTTGGCTTATGATACTGAAGTATCTGCATTCGGAATTCTTTAAAGAAAATAAAGAATTTCGATTGCAGATACTTCAGTATCATGGCTGACGAAACAAATGACGTATCCAGGAACAACTTGTTATTTGCATACGATGGTTAGATGAACAATTCACAGCTCATGAAGAGTACTTAGCCATACAGGTAATGAATGATCTAAAAGGGAAAACAATCTCCGACTACATTCTAGATTTCCTAATACATGCAGACCCCGATGTCCAAGATGCAAGGGGGCAGTGCTACGATGGAGCAGCTGTCATGAAAGGAGAACATAAAGGTGTAGCAGTAATCATCGAAATGTAAGATAATTTTCAGACCTCTCAGGATCTATCTTGCTGATTCTTTTAAACTTTGTATTCCAGAGAAAACACTGAAGAAGAAGTCATGAGCTTTTATCATATCATATCATTCAGCAAATCACAGCTGGGCTCGCACAACCACCCCCAGTTGCACGCACACACTAACAAAACCTCAACGTCCTATATATATACTGTTAACTAATGAATCCAGAATAAACTACCAATGACGATGCTCCATTCAATTTACGTCAACTGGCTCAAACGAAAGTGTAATAATTATAATCGAAACAATTTGAAAATAAGGTAAACAGAAAAGCTGCGTCAAAAAGTCACAAGATACAGTTAAGGTCTAATTACATTAAAGCAAAACCCTTAATCGACTATGCAATGAACATTTACATGAAAACCCGAACACAACTCCTCCTTGACTCGTTAAGAGTCAAGCATCAAACGGGTTTTCCACTGCGAGTCCTGACCTGCTGCGCGTTTAGATTTCCTACGCTGGGGTTCTACGACACGATTAGGACAAATTGGTATAGAAGGAAATTCACAAGCAGTCTGTTCCCATACTTTGTTCTCTTTCTCTGTCCGTACTTTTTCCTGCGGCTTCGTTCATTCTTGCAAGTTCAAAAGGAAAAAGTTTTTGCAAAGGTCGAGATAAAATTTCTGACTTACCACTACCACATACTTTTACCTTTGCACGCTGAACAACAGTCTCTTTTTCTTGAACATGTTCCATGATTGCTCCCATTTTCCATGAATTTCTTTTGACGTGTTTTTCTTGTATCAATACTTTATCCCCGACTGACTCAATTATTTATCCTTTCCTGTTATTTCTATGAAATTCCCTGAGTTCTGTTAAATATTCTTTTCTCCAGCGTCCTGCAAAGTGACTTAATTTTTGATTAAATAGCAAAATCGCTTAGTGTATGCTGATGAACTCTCCTCTTGTTCTAAATCGTTGATATCTAAATTTTCAGCTAATTGAGACAATTTATGACCGTGCAGAAGATGAAACGGAGTAAGTGCGTAAACTTCTACTTTCTACTTCGTCATAAATATACGTTAAGGGGCGCGAATTTAGTGTCGCCTCAACATCTAACAGCACTGTATGCAGCTCATCAAACGTTAGCTTGGCATTTCAAAGCACCTTTCTTAAACACCTCTTTACACTTCCTACCAATTTCTCAAAATAACCTCTCCACCAAGGACTCCTTTCCAAGTTTAAACGCCATGTTATTTTCTTTTCAACCAAAAATGATGAGACTTCACGACTATTTCCCAGCTTATCTAGAAACTTATTGGTAAACTTGAAAGATTTAGCGTTGTCTGAATTAATCAACGAAGGCGTACCAAGACGAGATGTAAAACGCATAAGAATCTTTATAAAGGTCAGTCCTGACATATCTTCAACGATGTCAAGATATATTTCACTTTATGTAGCACAGGTGTAACGTGCAATATAGAATTTTTCCATTTCACCAATTATGCTTTTATAAAACAATGGTCCAGCAAAATAAATACCTATGTAGGTAAATGGTGGTACTCCTTTGACACGAAATTCAAGTAAAGGTGCGACTGATGGTAAACCGTACGATTTACCTTGTACTTTTTTGCACTTTCTGCAATCCCTCAATATCTTTTTTACATACTGCCTTCCTTCTATTGTCCAAAATCTAGACCTATATTCCGTGAGATTTGCGTTCAGACCTTCAGGCATTACCCTTTCATGGCAATCCTCAATAACCAAACGTGTAAACCAATTATTATTCGGTAGAATAACCGAAAAATTAGTTTCTAGTGCTAAATCTGAGTTTTCCAAGCGACTCTTGCACTTTAAAATACCATTTTCTTTGAAGAGTCCCAATTCCAATGAAATCTCCTTATACTCTAGTTTTTTCTAAAGGTCAATTTGTGAGCCCTTAGTCCAAATCCTTTCTGCCCTTGAAACCTCCTCCGAGTCTAAGTCCCCTAATTTCAATATCTTACCTTTCCTTGTAGACCTTAAGTTACTGACGAAACGGATCACTCTTGCTGTAACCCTCAAAATTTCTTCAAAAAGCTAAATTTATCCACCTTTATTATTTCAATCACACTTAGTTCCATTATCTCTTGCGAATCTTCAAGAGTGAAGCTTTTAGGCCAATATTCTTTCCCCACGGATAACCAATGAGGACCTTCCCACCAAAGTCTGCTACCTTTTAAAACTGTTGCAGAGACTCCCCTAGAACCCAAAACTGCTGGATTACAAACTCCAATACAATGTCCCCAGTCTTCCTTTTTAGATATTTTCAGAATTTCATTGACCCTGTGTTGGGAGCCTATTATAGGGGGACCAAGAGCCGCAAAACTGTGCAAAAATCAACCAAATGCCGCAATACGCGATGAAATTAAACGCAAAGAAAGGCCGAGATAGCAAAAGAGGCCCTATAGGGGAAAATTGAAATATGAAATAATTAAAGTTTTTGGGGAGAAAATATTACTGTTTAGATGAAATAACTTTGGTTCCCTTTGGTTTTGAAATATGAAATAACTTTGGTTCCCTTTGGTTTTGAAATATGAAATAACTTTGGTTCCCAATATGAAGTAACAAAATAACTGAATACATCTTTTAATGTTGTGTTAGAATTATCTATTTGATAACAGCATAGACTCAAGTGACTTTTGATATGTAGAGCTGCTAAGATACCATATTACGCCTGGGTTGCTCTTTTGAATTTTTCAAACTTTTTGGGGCATTTTCTCAAAGGAGACGCTCAAAGAAGAGGCGGCTTTTCATACTTCATGATTAATAAAACTGCCAATAGCATAGAATCTGCCGCAAATAAAATACTCTTGGCTTGTATTGTCTCAACATAATAGTCGAAAACACCAGATAGCATTATAAAAGTGTTTTTATCTATATTAATTGCTCAACATCTTTATACTATGAATTCTTTCTAAGACCACTAAAAACCAGTTTTGTAAACCATTTAAGTTGCAGGATTGATTTGCTGATAAAATCTTCAGAGACGAAAAGCTTTGTTGGGGATATAAGGACCATCCATTGTGTTTTCTTTTGTCTGTTGACCAATGTTGATGGCCAATCAGCGAACGTGCATTTTATGAGTCTGCGCAGTTTGCAGCAGCTTGGACGATCGATTCTTGGAAATAGCACTCGTTGTGATGAGAAAGAAGGGGCCACATACAATTTTGTTATGCTTAGCCCTCAGTATACTTTAATGATTTTGTCTCCTGATAGCTCTTGGAAGGTCTTAATTGGATTGCTGAGGAAGTTTGATGAAAAGGTTGAGCTTTATGATTGAGGAAACAGCACGGCGCTTGCTGCCAGGGTG